CAAAAAGCACTGATTTCTTACAGTAGGAAGTCAGTGCTTTTGCAGAAATTCAAGCGGCCAGTGTAGACAGCTGGCAAGTTTTTCCAGAAAAGCGGCTGATTTTCTGGAAAAACTGGCCAGTCTAGATACAGCCTTAGAGTCAGAAAAAAGGCTTGGGGCTCTCTGATGAGAAGACACTACCCTGGATTTCATGGGGTCAGTCTCATTAGCTGGTCTGTTTTATTCCATCACATAATATTCATTCGTATATGCTGAGTTTTAATGCTTCCCAGTAAATGAAGCCGGGAGAACTGAGGGCAGCTATTTCGTCACTGCAGTGGCCAACATTATGCTGGATTAAAAAAATACTACAGGAGACGGCGGGCAAACCCTACCCTGAAAAATGCCTCTCTACGGAAAACTGAGCCAGTTTTGAGCCATTGTGTTCACACTCTTTGGCTGCCCCCGCATGAGCTGTCATGGTTTAGAGCACTGGAGGACAGGTGGAAACCAGAAAGCTGGTTGGTGGGGTCCTCTTGGCTGGTGGTTATGCTGTGAGTCAGCAAGGTTGGGACATTGGTCAGGAGTTGGGTCATTTGGCAAAAGAGTGTATGTTGGGGATGACAGGGGTGGCACTCAGGTTAGGAGGCTGATGTGGGGTATTGCAGGAGGGTTTGGCACCTGAAGAGTAGGAAAAATTGCAGCTGGAACATGTAGGGAGGCTGTCTCATCTGGGAATATTCATGGAAGTCGCAGTGTCAGACATTGGAAGAAGTGGAGGGAGTTTGGTCAAAGTGCCTATGGGAATGGTGGGCAGGCTTGGCAGCAGGAAGTCAGGTGGCTGGGCACACGGAAAGGTTTGGCATCTGGGAAAGCAGACTTAGGTTGGGACCTGGTGACAAGGATAAATTGTGAACACTAATGCTGATCTGCAGTACTGGTTACTGGGGACTGCAGTGTTAATACTAGTGTTTCCACAGCACCTTTCACCCACAGATCTCAAACCACTTCCCAGTCACAAGTTAACTCAGTCCCCTCATAATGCCCCAGTGAAGTAGGAACATATTATCCTATTTCCCGGACAGCAGACATGATCCTTGACTTGGCCGGGATCACGCAGGTAGGGCCAAGAACAGACCCTGGGATTCCTGAGGCCCACATTCCTCTCTCAAAGTACTAAACTCTCTGGCAGAACATCTGTGACAAAAGGAGCCTTATGCCCATTCCATGCTCAAATAACAGTAGAAAGAAGCATGAGCATAGCGAGTAACCTCCACTACGTAGTTTTAAATCACACATAGAGACTGGAAGCCCGAAACTCAATCACACCGTCTCTAGCTGTTCTGGAAACAATTTTCTCCGGTCTGTACTAGCAGTTAAACTGTTCCTCGTGGTTTCTGATGGGTCCTTAGCACCAGATCAGTGTCTTACAGGTACTTCGATGTGTTCTTAAGTCACATATGTAAAAGCAGCAATGATAAGATATGCCAAAGAACGAAAGGCAATTGTAAATGCAATTTAGAATATAAAGCACCATTTTCTGGCCTGCTGACAATTTTTTTCATGCAAACCCTGCTAGGTATGATATATCATTGCTCAGTGTTTCTATGTACCCAACATAAAACTATTTTTATTTCTATGTGTAATGAGCTTCCCTTGCCCAGAACTGTGGCTACCATTTCCTGTGCAGCAGCTTGAGTTGATCATGATGTGATCATGGCACTTTTATATGAAGCTCTACAAGGTTCTCAAGATCGCTGAGTTCTTTCTAGGATGCAGGGCGGGGGGAAGGTTGTTTGGTGGCTTACTCCTCCTCCAAGTGGGAAATGAAGCTAATGCTCAATGAAGGCAGTGGAAAGATCACCACTAGCCTACCTGGAGCCTCCTGGTGGAGTTCCTGGAGGAAGGAAAGGTGTAGAACTGCAATCTGGTTTTGCATCCTAATCCTGAGGCCAAAAGATCAGTGCACACTCACTTGTTACCAGTAGCCTATATTTGGGTGCAGAAAAGAGTTGATTAGGTAGCCTTTGAAAAACTATAGCACCTTCTTTTTGTAGTAACTAAGCAGCAAAGCCTGGCTTTTTTTTTTATCAACAAAAGTCATTTTGCAAAAATTGGCCTGTGTTCATTAGTATGGAAATCAATAAAGGGCCAGACTCTATAATGCAGATCACTGTGTATTGCACTGTTCGGGTAATCTGGCTCAATGCCAAAACCATCCAGGGAAGATCAACTCAAGGTAAAGATGGTCCCCCTACTGCAGAACCAACGTAGAGGCTCTTATGACACTTACTCCTCTCCCCCGTGTTCCCAACATAGCAATAGCAAGGAAGAGAGATAGCAACTGGTGGAAAAGGGACACACCCAGGGGGTTATCACCAATCTTTAGCCCATTTTTGGACCCTCAGGGCCATTTGTAGATAGCATAAGTTAAAACAGCCTTTGGATTCTTCCAACCCAGCACAGAGAATGGACTTCGCAGGGTTGCAACATAACAAACCCTGAAATCTTACCCTGTCCCCTAACAGTCAGTCTGGAGTCCTTCCTGGGTATCATAACTAGCCATAGGGCATCTGAAGTTCAAATTATGCCAGCAAATTCATGGTGTGAGCCCTTGGTTTTCAAATGATGCCTTCAGTTACACCTGCACAGCCCCATTAATCCTGAGAGGATTTTTGGGAGGAAGTTAGGGAATAACATGAAGGCAATGGAGCAGCACAAGTGTATTTCATTTGGCCTCTTCACCCCATGTATCATCACTAGTAATAGAGGGTCCAAAGAAACCAGCTTGCCTCTCTGAGCCTAGGTAGAATTTGTGGGCTGGCAGTTACAAATAACGTAATTAACAAACTATGCAACTCTGGTCTGGATATCAGTGAGTCAAAAGGACTATAGAGCTGCACTGTGGGTTTTTTTCCTAAAATGATTCTTTTACGTGCAGCTGCATTTTGATATTTTCCTGTTGTGGGCAAGCATTTGTGAGGCTAGAGGACGCAGTGGATTGATGTTCCAGGTTCTCTTTTCTGGAGGTATGAGTTGCAAGCCACGCACACAAAAACAAACTTAAACATACAGCAATGAGTCAGGCATTAGATTATTCCAACTCCTCCCATGTTCAGAACAAGTCAGGAAATATGCAAAGAAACTGCATTTTCTAGGAGCAAAATTTCTCCAGTGCAGAAGTCCTCTGAACCCTTAATCCACATGTGATTTTTGAGTGGCAACCCTTGCAGCAGGATTAATTTCACTCTTGGGGTGCATCTGCACAGCACCCGTAGGTCGAAATAAGATATGTAATTGAGCTAAGTGAATTGCGTAGCTTATTTCGATCTAATTTCAAAATAGCTTATTTCAAAATTTGGCACTGTCTACACAAAACCAGATTTTGAAATAAACCACTGTTCTGAAACATCCCATAACTGCATGGAATGAGGAGTACAGGGACGTTGGACTAGCGAATCCTTTATTTCAAAATCTATTTTGAATTAATGGGCTGGTTCAAAAGACACAGAATAGCTATTTCGGGAAACCTCCGGTATCCCGAAATAGCACCATAGTCTAGATGTACTCTTGGTTACAAAGTACCAGAGCCTGGTTTCAGTTAGTCAAGGAGAAAAGCCACCCTGACTCCAATATAATCAAGACTGGCCCAAAGTCCTCTGCAGAACTGGATTAATCCCATCTCCTTTCACTGGCTCAGACTTGAAGACAACACAATATGTGAGCACACAAACTACATGCTGCCCCTCAACAAACTATTGCCTAGATCACAGAGATCCCTCGACCATATTTTGCAATCAGAGTTGCTAAACTAAGAAGTTGGTGCTTTTAACTTTGGCAGTAACATGTACCAAACTCAAGCTATGCCTAGAGACCCAAGATGTTAGACCTCTGAAGCAAGAACAAGTCACACTGCCATCTAGTGGATGATTCAATTGTTGACTTTCAGGCAAAGGTGCTGTCAAATCAGGTAGCTCCAATTTTAAAACAGGGACCTTTAATTTTTATTTCTGATGCCTTCAGGTTATTTTTGTGGGCCTATTTTGTCCCCCTATAACGTTCGATGCCAACAATCAAAGGCTTGCACCTTTCAGTACTGAGCAGCCCTTGAATTACAAGCCACTGTTTGCATAAAAATAATGGGCAGCACAGTTCAATTAATCAAAAGGTTTCAGCATCATTCTCCCAGAGGGTTGTTGTTATACAGACTCCAGAGAGAAAAATAACCACAAATTGTGGATGATACCTTGACAGCATGCCTTTGAACAACCTATGAAAATGGGATTCCGGCAGGACTTTGCTGTACAGTGTTTAGAACCACTAGGCAACGTTCATTTTAACACCCACCTCAAGAAGTCAATAGGGCTCTAATGTGTCATACCTTGAGGTGAGCCAGTGACTCCAAATTTTGATGTGTTAATATGTAAAGTTATAGAAAGAAGGACCTATAGGAACATAGCAGTGAAAAGCTTTCTGTTGCAAGGTCAGTAGAAAAGAAGGTTGAGTCACCAAATCACAGCTGATTGGAACACTGTGGTAAGTGGAGGTATCTAGTAAAAGAGTCTAAGTATCTAACAACAGTCTTTAAAGGAACAGCTATTTTGCAGTTACACAATAACAAGCCTCCAATCAAAATGCCATATTTCTGTAGGTAATACTAGCGCCTCTAAGAAAATTTGGCTCCCCATATTTCCTAGTGTCCAGTAGTGTGAGAAGACCTTAGAGTCATGGGGGACATCATTCTTTTTGAATGTAAGATCATACTATCACAGCGTTGAGGCCCAGACATTGTTTGTATGTCCTAGTCAGCTTTTGCCTTTGTCAGTGGAACCAAGATAGCAGCAGTAAAATAAACTGTATTTTCTCTTCTTCTGGTGATAAAAACTCTGCCCTTGATGTCTTTGACAAAGAAATAGGATAAGGCACTGAGATTAAGAATTAATTTCCATGAAAATATCTTATCCATTTAAAATCTGCAGTT